CCCCTAATTTCAAAAGGGATAAAAATGGAATTTAAATGTTATTTTTGTGCATTTTAAATTGATTTTGTATCTATATGCTTATGTGTCCAATTGTTTGTTTATTTTAATTCATTGTGTTATTTTTTTAATTGTTTGTTTATTTTAATTAAGGGTGTAATTCTTTATTTGTTTGTTTATTTTAATTAATTGTTTTATTTATTTTATGTGTTTTAAGTGATTCGTTGCTTGCTTATTTGATTTAATTAATGGGTTTTATTAAATTAATTATTTATTAAGTATTTAATTTTTGAACAGGGTAATTATGTAATTCCCATTAACTGGGGTTTTAGATACGTTTTAGTTAGGGTTTTTGGAGCCGTCTCATAAGCATCTGATATGTAACTAAACTGGGTTACTTTGTGGGCCGACGAAGTTAGGGCTCTGTGGATTAGGGTTTTAATCTTGCAATTATAAATACCTCAGTATATGTTAAACCTAGGGTTACATATTGTCGTAACTTTTACATGGAAAAGTCTGCCAAATAGAGAGAGTTGCAGAGGGAGTTTTGGTGAGAACAGAGCAGTTTGTGAGAATTTCGACTGGGGTTCCAAGGTTTAACCAAGGAGAAGGAAGGAGCAGAGGTTCTAGGAGGTTAGACAAGTTTCAGTGGATATTGAAAAAACTGAGACCAACGGCAACAAGGGTTTGTTTGCAAACTTATTCAGGCAAGTTCTATCTTCCTCTTTCCCTTTGAGCCGTGTTCTGTGCACCTAGATATGCTCTAGGGTTTTAAGGAAATTAACAACTAAATCATTCATGTATGTTATACATCAAATTAATCATATGTATGCTTTGAATAATTTCTATGATGATTTCTGCAATATCTGTTACAGTGCATGCAAGTTGGTTCAGTTTTATGTCCTTTAAGCATGAGGGTTTTTGTCGTAGTTTTTGTCTCTGTTTTTATTGCAACTACTGTAAACTAAGTATGGAAAGACTACGGGAGTTATGTAAATCTCATAGGAAGGTTGCTATTTCTGTTTTAGATCTCTGTTGCATTTTGCTTCGTTGTAATCCATGCATGAGGTTTCAGTTTTTGCACAAGTTTACTTCTTTTAATTAATTTAAATTGCTATAATCAAACCTTGGGGATGCTATCAAGAGGGTGTTAGATCCTTTAGATCAGTTTAAGAAACAACCAAAGGGGTAGGAATTGATCGGAGAAGGAGCAGATTGACGGAAACGGAGCAGAGATGAACTGGAGTCTCTCAAGAGGAAGAGAGCCGGCTCTAGAAAGTCAAGAGCCGGCTCCCCTTCAGCAAGAGCCGGCTCCTAGGGAATTAGAGCCGGCTCCAATAGGGGAAGAGCCGGCTCTTCCATTCCAAGAGCTGGCTCCAATTTGTTTTACGTCCAGAAAGTGTTTTCTAGGGCTCTGTTTGGTGTTTTGAGCACTGTTTGAGCTTCTGAGTGATTCTAATGAACTGTAGGGACTTAACAGAGGATCTAAGTAGTTAATTCTAAGTGTTATTAAACTTATTGTTGTATGGTTTAAGTCTCTAAGACAAAGGATGAAGTAGTGTAAAAATATACAACGGTGTATGCTACTAATAGAGAAAGGAACTAAATGGCTTGATTAAATTTTAGAAATTTAATGAGACTTCACGGAAGGATTAAATAGTTAATTTTTGGGTGTTATTAAGACCCTAAATTGATTTAAGGTTAATTCTAAATTAACGGATCAAACTGTATAACACTTATGTACATTGTATACGGTTAGTGGATAGAAAAAATTTTAAATACTTAAGCTTACTTTTAGGCATTCCAGTGAGATTTAATATATTTATAAAATGGTTTTAAATATATTATAGGGTCATTAATGTGTTAGATGTGATCTATGCAGGCTCTGGATGTTAGTTGTTGATTTATTAAATCATCTCCTGCAACTATATGGTTAATTGTTTGGATTTAAATTGCTGAAACACTTAAAAATCTTCTGTAATTATTTGGATATTGGTTTTGGATTTTAAATTATTGTACTATTATTTATAGCCTCTAATTTACATGGTTTTGGATTTAAGTTATTAGAATACTAAATACTATTCTGCAATGATATGGACGGTTGGTTTTGGACTATAAGTTACGTGCTTATTATTTATGCCTTGTAACTTACCTGAAATTATGTATTGGAACATAATTGCTGAATTCTTATACTTAATTCGGTCAATTATTTGGAATCATATATTGGATTATAATTGCTGAATTCTTATATTAAATTTGACCAATTATTTGGAATTATGTATTGGATTTTAATTACTGAATTCTCACATTAAAATTCTGTCAATTATCTGGGTTTGGTTTTGCATTGTAAATTACTTGCTTATCATTTGAATGTTGTAATTTACATGGATATGGAGGATAATATGCACCGGTATGGGACGGTGGCATACTAGGTATGGTTTAGCTCAAAATGCTAATTCCTACCTTATGGATTTTAATTGGTGAACAGCTTTGCCTGTTCTATCAATTATATGGATTTTGTGGATTGGATGTACCGGTATGGGACGGTGACATACTAGGGACAGACTGATTCAAAATACTCAGTCCTACCTATTTTGGGAGGAAGGGTACGAATTATAAAAACATAATTCTCCTTATATTTAAGTCTGTGCAGTTGAATAAACTGAACGACTTATTGGATCCTTTATATAAGTCTGTGCAGCTGAATAAGCTGAACGATTTATTGGAGGTCCTATGGATGGATTTGAATGGACTTAAAATATATGGTTATGGTACCACGAGATGAGCTTGAGTCTCAGACTCGTTGGTTAGGACGCGTATATGCAGTGGATGCGTAGCTAGCTATAGTAGGTTGAGGTGTACCCTGTTAGGTCTAGGTACTCATGCCCACCTTTGGGTGCGTTTTCGCATGTTGCCTTCTATTCAGGTTGAGAATCCTATTGTAGTTCAGTGAATGTCCCATAGTGTGGATATATATATGTATGGACTAAATAGATATTGTGAGGTATCTACGGTGTATCTGCGTATCGGGTCATTGTATGGATTGCAGCTAGATTAGAACTTGCTCGTGGGCCTGACCCACTCTTCTATTATTCTTTACAGGTGTTCGTTAGTTCCAGGCTGCAGAGCTTGATCGTGCTGAGCAGATACAGTTGTTCACTCCACCGATGACATAGGAGTATATTTTGTGTGTAGACTTGGGTTTTGTTTTCCGTCTTTTGAGTTCGGTGGGTTATTTTAGGGGTCCACTAGATGGATTCCCGAGTTGTATTGGAGAACGATATGTGTTCGTGGTGAATCAGTTGTATCTGAAATATCTTATTTATCAATGGAGTTATTTTTTCTGAGGTTTTCAAATATTGGATTACTCTTTTAGTTTTCATTTCAGCAAATTTTATTTAGCTCTTTTGATATAATTATTCTGTGTTCGTTAATTACTAATTTGTTTGATATCCTCGGGTAATCGGGCGTGAGCCTGGCCAACCCGCATCCGGAAATCTGGGGGTATCACAAAAGGTACCAACGGCTTGTGAGAAAGCTAATCTACTTGTCTCATACACGATCGGATATTGCCTATGCTGTGAGTTTAATGAGTCAATTCATGCATAATCCTAATAACGATCACATGAATGCCGTGCTTCGGATTTTACGGTACTTGAAGTCTTCCCCAGGAAAAGGACTCATGTTCAGGAAATATAATCATTTAAACATTGATGGTTATACGGATGCTGACTGGGCTGGGAGTATTACTGACAGAAAGTCTACATCAGGATATTTCACTTTCGTGGGTGGCAATCTAGTTACTTGGAGAAGCAAGAAACAGAAGGTGGTTGCATTATCTAGTGCAGAAGCTGAGTTTAGAGGCATGGCTAAAGGACTGTGCAAGCTTCTTTGGTTAAAGAGGCTACTGGAAGAAATTGGCTATTCATCCAGCTCTGCAATGAATCTATTTTGTGATAATAAAGCGGCTATAGAGATTGCACCAAACCCAGTTCAACATGACCGAACAAAACATGTTGAAGTGGACCGACATTTTATCAAGGAAAAGTTTGAAGCTAAGATAGTTCAATTTCCTTTTGTAAAATCAGAAGATCAGTTGGCAGATATCCTTACAAAGGCCGTCTCAAGCAAGGTGTTTTATAACTCACTGGGATGTCTCCACCAACTTGAGGAGGGGTGTTGGCGTGAGTTGTGAGGATCTTGTGGAGAGATTATAGGGATTTTATGTATTTATTTGGTTTCCACTGATTATGTATTTCCAAGAATTCTAGCCTACATTTGTGTACCTTCTAAGAATAGATTCTTCTGTACATACTTTATAAGCATACTCTTGTATTCTAGAAATTATGAATTTGAATAGAATTTGATATCTTTTCATCAATATATACCTCGCAACAGGTTAAATCTTCAACCGCGTCAAACTATAAACCCTACGCCGCTCGTGCTCTCTTACTGGCTAGTCAAAACTACCTTCCCCCAACAGCGACGACTGAAGGCGGCTAAGGTACGATGGTCCTCTCTTTCTTTCTGATAGATATATGTATATGTATGTGTGTGTGTGTGTGTGTGTATATATATATATGCAATATGGTTGATTCATCCCAGATGGGCAGCGGCTAGGACTAGTACGTTGCTGATTTCTTGGACTATTTTCTCGTTTTTCAAATATGAGAAAATCCAAGAATCGTTTGCTTTAAAACATAAATGCGTCTTGCTGAATATAAATGGACAAGAGATTAATAGTACGTTTGATTTTTTTTTTTTTTTTCCTCCGATCTTCTTTTTCAACGTCCTTTTGTTCTTCAGCAATTTTTTTTTTTAAAATTTTTGATGCATACCTAATTTTTGTTTTTATTTTTTTTCTTTTCTTTTCCAACATCTTTCCAATTTTGGTATGTTTATTTATTTATTTTTATCTGAATATGAGCTTACATGTTTGTCCTGTTTTCAGTTTTCAACCACGTCTACAAAAATTTATAAAACATTCCTCTTTAATCTTCCAGATGGAGAAATCCCAAGAAATATCAGTGTTTTCACTTCCTCCAGAAATAATCTTCCAGATACTTAAGGAGCTTCCTGTAAAAAGTTTGCTAAGATTGAAGTGTGTTTCGAAGCTTTGGTGCTCCATTATTGACGATCCCTTTTTTGTTCAATCGCACCATACTCGCTCCCATACTTGTCCTGGTGGTATCAGTATCCTCCACTACGACAATACTTGTAGACTCGAGCTGGCAGACCCAGAGTTTGATTCGGTCCATCACATTCTAAATTTGCCTCGCACATATTTCAGAAATCCACAGTATCATAACGGCCTCATCTGTATCGATAACTACATATCGAATCCTAGCACACGCGAATGCATAATTATCCCACCACCACTCAGGAGCAAGACTAAAGCTTCCTTTGAGGAATCTTCAAAAGAATTGGATCCGCAATACTTCTTAGGGTTTGATCCTTCCTCTAACAAATACAAAGTCCTTTACAGACACGCTATTATAACTAAACTACATAATCGAAGGGAAATAATGTTTGAGTATGAGTACAAGATTTTGACGTTCGGCACGAACTCATGGAGAGATATTGATTGTTCCATCAGTTGTCATCGTGGCATTATCAGTCGTTCTTGTTCCATTGCCGGTTTTATATATTTTATACATTCTAATTCGGATGAATATGTGTTAGAGGCGTTTGAAGTGGGACAAGAGAAGTTTTCAGTCGTGTCTCTCCCCGAAGGTGCAAATTCGGCCTCTTTTCTGGTACAGGTTGGAGAACGTTTGGCTGTGATGGACTTTGATAGGAAGACAATTTGGATATTAGAAGACTGCCGCAAGCAACTGTGGAACAGACAGAGCCTCGTAATGATGTACGAAGGGGAGCCACTAATAAATAATAATGGTCTGCTCATGAGACCATATGGTACCATTCATACTTCTGAGATATTAGTCGGTTTATTTTTCTCTAAAGAGGCATCAAAACTGTCTTTTTATGATCTGGAAAGGAAAAAATTAAGGATCCTAAAAACAATGACTCCAAATGTTCACTTCTATGCCAAATACGTGGAGAGTTTATTCCGGTTGAAAGGGCTGTGAGTTATAGGTGAAAAGGTTGCTAAATTTCTTATTTTCTTATTCTTGATGATTCCAAATTTTTATTTTTTCTTTTTTCTTTTTTCAGTGGACGTTATGTTTAGTCTCATGCATGTACAAGTTTCCTGAAGATATGAGTATATTATCTTGATCAAGGAATTAAACTTTCTGATTCATTCCAGCTTTTGTTAAGCATTAGTATTCTTTACACAAGGCAAACTTTATTTTGTTATCAATTCAGCACTTAATTCTGATTGGATTAAGTGATTAAGTGTAATTTGAATATCACTTAAAAGAACAAGTGCCAACAAAAATGAGTTAAATTTTTAAGTGACAGTTCACCCTTAAAATTTAATATATATAGATCAATTTACAATTATCATTTCAAAATTCAACCCTTAAAATTTAGCTCTTAAAAATTTCACTTCTATGAAACAAAAACTTATTTGTTTGTATTTAAATATAAGTTTGAATGAGGAGTGAATATTTGTGAATCATATGAAGCATGTTTGCTTGAATGGGGCGTGAATATTAATGGTAGTCCGTTTTGACATTGAAGGGGGTAAAATGTGGATTAGAAGATCAAAAATTGTCTAACTTCTTTTGGTATCTTTGGTTTGGATTGGTTTCAGTCTCGGATTGTGTTCTTAGCTGTTTATAGACAAAATAGAGCATTTGGATCGTGTTTGTTTCTTCCAATTTTTTTAATATTTTGGACCCTAATTTGTTGGGCTATATTTGGATTTTATCCTATCCAGCCAATAGTTTATCTCAGCATTATGATTTCTTTGTCCGGTACCTTGGTCTATTCTGCATTTGAATTTGTCTGATAACTTCCAAGTTTATTTTATTTTATTTTATTTTTTTCCTGAGAATGTTACTACAACTCACGCCCCGCAACCAATGTCTAAGATCGCACGTGAGTTTGGAAAGGTCTAAATATGTGACATGATGCAGTATCTTCTTCCTATTGCTATTGGAACAATAATTTCCTTGATGGTCTGCTGCTAAGACTTTTTGAGGCAGACTTGGGTCTATTATACCATAATTTTTGAGGTACAATCTGCTGAGACTGGCAGCTTCCTTTGCAAAATTATTTTTAGTTTCTTGTTTTCATTTTTTTTTGGAAACATTAATTTTGTGTCTATTCAAGGTTTGATTCTCCTTTTGTTTAGCTTGATAGGCTATTTGGAAATTGTATCGACTTTGACTCAGTCTCACACCCTATCGTTGTATCAAAAATCAATTGATGACCATTCCTAGCTTTACATACAAGTCCCTCATTCAACAGCGCTCAACTTCAAGTTTACTCTTGATCTCTGTAGAAAGGTCGCTGGTAGATCAACCAACACTCTATGAGTGTTTTGACCATTCAAAGTATGATTGAATCCTCCTCTTCTTTCAAATATGAATTTTGTGAAGGTTTGTAAAAATGTGTTGCTTTGATCAACTTATAAATGATGTAGACTCTAAAGATTCTTTGTTGATCAATAGAGGAACATCACCCTAATCACTCTTGTGTTTAAGTCCCTAATCGATCTTGTGTTTAAGTGCGTGCTTTAAAAAATTAAACATTAGATTTCTCTAAATAAACCTTTCAAAAAACTTCAATAATTAGAAAAAGATGAAAAGATTGATTTTTCAAGTAAAGTCACCAATCTCTCGTCTAAACTCTATTAAAGTTTATCGAAGAGGTTATATATATAGTAGTGACTTTTTACAATATGTGAAAAGAGCTTTTAAAAACCGCGTAAGAACTGTCCTACAAATTTGGCTAAAGATAATAAACTCAAAAGTTACCTTAATATAATTTTTCGCACATTCAGACTAAAATAACCAGCTCGATTTCAAAGTGCAACCAGTTCCATAACTCTCGGGAGAACTGATTCTATGCAGAAAGTGCAATCGGTTCTAAAGCAAAGTGCAATTGGTTGGACTTTGTTGAATGTTATTTCCAACCTGTAATCTCATACCCAACTTTGAAAGATACTCACAAATGTACCTCACTGACTTAACCGTTCTAAATAATGTTCTCAAAGAATTCATAGGTAAGCAGCACCTGCGCTTCAGCTCCAAAAGAGCGAGGCTCAAGATAAATAAAAATTATAACTCGATCATTAAGATTTGACTACGAAATTCACCAACATTACAAATTTATATCTCACGTGATTCTCCGAGAGACTTCTTAATGTTTCCGTCGTCTCTCTGTATGAATTGGGTCACCCCAGTTGGGAAACTCAAATTAAAATTTGATACAATCTTCCATGAGTCATCATCATTTTGTGGAGGGGTTTTATCCTTTGGGATTGTAGAGGAAGGCCCATGAAAATTGCATTTCTGTCTAAATGAAACATCCATTCCTCTTACATGGCTGAGGTGTTGATGTTGCCTAAAGGAATTCGTTTTTTAAAGCATTATGGGGTTACTCAAATGTTACAATTGAAGGGGCATATACTTATTAGTGGTACTTTATCTGTAGATCTTGCTAAGATTAAAAAAAAAAAATAAACAAAAAAAAAAAAAATTCACACATAATCTTTTCAACGTGCACCTAGGAAGCACAAACACTATTATAGAAGTGTCGTGGCCATGTCTGACACGGACACACATGAAACATAGCAGGACGTGTGTTCGATACGGTTAAAAATGTCTAGTAATTGAAATATATTATTTTTTTAGTTAGACTTGATTGGGAGGCTTTTAAAACACGGCTGTGATAATTTTTCAATTATCTGGCCAAAAAGAAAAAAAAAAAAAAATTCAACTATTTTTTTAAAAGTTAGAATTTGAGTGTAATTTTAAAACATATCATAGGTTAATTAGAAAAATAATATAAAGTTTTACAAAACAAAAACAATATTTACCAATTTTTTTTTTAACTATTAAACACATTCACGTACTCACTTGTCCCTATGGAAATTTGAACTATCGATCTTCTACTTCGAAAAGCAACGAAGTATCAATAAGATACACCGATTAGTATATCTATTCACTTCTAACATGCAAAACATTGATTAATTTATGATAAATTTAGATAAAATAAGCAAAATTAGGTTTTTTGATATATAATAAAATATTATATTATGTTTTGTGTGGGTGTGTGTGTGTGCATATATATATATAAATATCTGAGATTTCTCATATCACAATTCACAACGTCTATATTTCAGAAAAATTATTACATAATTTCAAAACTAATTGATCCGACCATCTCAAAATAACAAATAATCAAGATGTTTATTAATAATAATATAAAATTATCATATTTATTTATGTACTGTTTTGTGATCACCAAACGAACAGGGCGCAAATCCTTTGCTGTGAGAATCCTATGCGGTCCCCTGTAATGACTTTTAATGGCCTATATTTTGCCATATCATTCTTTATTTAATAACTCTTGAGGCAGCGTTTGGGTGCATCAATTACAAAAAATTAAAAATCTTTTTTACCATTATTTTAAAGTATTTTCACCCTCAAAATAAAATATGCACGTAATGTAGACTAAGTAATGTCACATACAAACGTAACTCAATTCAACATACTGTGTTTGACAATTACAACACCATTTACAAGTACATTTTATTATCATTTATGAGTATCTTCATCCTCAAATTAAGATATGCACATAAATGGTAGTGTTACTTTTAGACTTTTGCGATATTACTTTTTAGACTCTTATAATATTACTTATAAATGGTGATGACATGTTACTTATAAATAGTAATGTAATTGTCAAGCACGGTCTCAATTATTAAATGATACTGAATGACGTGACCAAATATAAATCACGTAAAAACTCACCGCAAGGGTACGTTATGGGAAGCAGAGGATTTGCGCCCAAAACGATTGATGTAAAGAGTAGCAATTTTGCACGTAAAGATTACCACTTTTTCAAATTTCGGCGCCCACATGGGCCACCCATTTGCATTGTATTCACACAGAAAACTACACAATGCACTGAGAGTCGGGACTCTCTTTTTTTAACGCATTAATCATCTAAATTTTTTATTTCTTTTTTAAAAGGTCACGTGTTATGGGAGACTTGCATTTATAAATTATACCACAAACCGTTACACTCAATTTTTTTTTTTTAATGGATTTAGTCATTTAATTTGTTGACCACATCGTTGACATCTATTTTTTTTTTTTTTTAAATTTTAATTTTCAAAAGATTGTCTCATTTTTATTTATTAAATTTTACTTTTTTTTAATTTTTTTATTATCTTATAGACTCTCCTCTAATTTTATAATTTACTTTTAGTATTAGTAACCGCAATGACTCACTTTTCTTAATGCATTAATCATCTAATTTTTTAAAAAGGTCACGTGGTCCGAAGACTTGCATTTGTAAATTGTAACAAAAACCACTACACTCATTTTTCTAATGCATTTAATCATCATTTAATTTGTTGACATCTAAAATATTATTTTTAATTTTTTTATTTTCAAAAAGATCGTCTCATTTTTATTTAGTAAATTTTATTTTTTTTGAATTTTTTTATTATCTTACCGAATAATTTCACTTACTTTTAGCATTAATAACCGTAATGTGATTTTATTATTTTGTTAAAACTGATATCATATTCAGTTTTATTCGCGATATCATATCAGTAGATTCTTGATTAAGAAGACAGTAACATTAATTAAAGATAATTAGTCCAATGATATAAAAAAAAAATACGCTTTGCTTTTTTCTTGTTAATAAAAAAATTATAACTTTAAAGAAAAAAAAAGTAAAAAAAATGAAATTAAAAGGAAATCGATTTGTGATATTGAAAAACCTACCTCTTAATTTACTCACACGCATTATGAAGAATCTTAACGTCCATCTTTACAGGCTAAAAATAAAAAACAGGATCAATCTTTACGCCGTTACTCGTCGAGGGAAATATCGTACAAACGGAAAACACTAAACGCTAGTAAATTAACAGAAGCCATTATTAGTCCAACCCAACACCACATTCTGGAAGTCTCACTCTTCTTGTCTTTTACCAAAATTAGTGCTCTCTTCTTTATCTATCTCCATGTCCTCTATTATGTATACGTACAGCAAACTCGTGAAATCGAAGCTTGAATCATGATACTAAAGATGCAATCAAAGTTCTCAGCAACCCATTTCAGAACACCACCAATTTTACCATATTCGTTAATCCCATATAATTTATGCAAGAAGGTTGGGTTTAGTGATAGAAATTCGTCTTCTTCAGTCTACAGGTTTCGGTTCAAGCTCGTGGGTCAGTCGTCCGGTGATAATAGATGGAAATTCATTGATTTTGATGCCAGTGAGTATAATTTTTCCGCTATTATTTTCATTTGTCTTTACTTTCATTATACTCTCATTATTGTTTGTTCATACTTTATAGAAAGGTATTCTGTATTGGGTTCAATTTTTTATGAATAAAAATAAATAAAAATTGGCGGCTAATTTTGTTCATTATGCTCTCATTGTTGTTTGTTTATACTTTATGGAAAGGTATTCTATAATGGGTTCATTCTTTTTTGGCTAATTTTCTTCATTATACTTTCATTATTGTTTGTTTATACTTTATGGAAAGGTTTTCTGTAATGGGTTCATCCTTTTTTTTAAGCTCATTTTCTTCATTATACTCTCATTCATCCTTTATGGAAAGGTATTCTGTAATGGGTTCATTCTTTTTTTTTTGGCTAATTCTCTTCATTTGTTCATACTCTATCAGAAGGTATTCTGTAATGCATTCATTCTTTTTTGGTTAATTTTCTTTGTTAGCCTTTAAGTAAGAAGAAAATTCCCCACTCCAAATTGGGTTTTTGTAAACTTACTGATTTTTATTTTTTGCTTCATTCATCTCTCTATGGAATACTAGGTATAATGAGTTCATGCGTGTCATTTAAAGTCATAAACTGCACTAGAATATCATCTTTCTATAATTTATTGGTATAATAATACTTGCTATTGCAATCTTTAAAATTTTGGATTTTGTGGAATTAATAGGCTTAAAAAGATGATTGAGTTTGTCTTGTGCATTTTTTTGCTTCTTTATGGAACATGAACGCCATTTTGGCTTGGAGCTGTTTCCTCTTTATGTATTAGTTAAAGAAAATTTTCACTAAAAAGCAACCTAGTGATGTACCTGCTACTGTAAGAAGAGGATTGTTGCCATGTGCAGATCCAGCGCTGTTTTATTCTGATTTCTAGCTACATGGTTTTTGTATGGTTTATGTAGGAAAATAAATGAATTTATGTAGAAATCCAAAATTTATCTTTGTGGGAGTTTGTACATGCCAAGAAGTCATCTTAGTGGGAGTAATGGTGTTAAAATTTGAATCAATGTATTTGGTTAGATACATGCTCTTTGAAGTCTGTATTAACTTATATACTCCAGCCATTTTTTCCGGTGGAATGAATTATTTTCTTAGCATTTCTCCAAATATCTAGCCCTCTTATCTCCAAAAAGGTGGTATGAGAGTAAAGAGAGCAAAGTGGTATCACACTTTGATGACCCCGAAGGCCTTAGCATATTACAATCACATCGATCCTACGTTGAATGGAGAATATATATCTCCTTAGAGAAAAGAGAAAATTTAATCCATTGGTGACAAGTTTATGTTTTCTAAATAAAGATTGTCATTTCTTCGTCGTTCATAGCATGTGATTTGTGGCCTGTGGGACTTTGTTGGAGAAGAGCCAGAGAAAGGCACATCCAACAGACTACTTGAAAAGAAGAAGAGAAGGCATTTTTAATCTCGCAAAAGGCTATATGGAAGTATATTAGAGAGTTCTGTCACCAAATCAATTGCAAGATGCTGGAGACTAATGCCTCTAATCGTGGAGCTGAGCTATGACTGACAGAATAGTTGATACAATGTTTTGAGGAAGATCAGTTCACGAAGGAAGATAATGAAAGTTTCAAGTGGAGGATGAATAGGAGAATTATACATAAGAAGTTAAGAACTTGAAGATTTAAATATTGATGACCAACTTGAAATGGTGAATGAAAAGGAAGTGAAAAAGGAAGATGTTAAAGAACAAATTGAAAACATGAAACAAAATGAAGTGTAACAAGGAGTTGTTGGAAAAGTTGAAAATTAAGAAAAAATGGTCAAAGAAGAAAAAGATGTTGAAGAAGAGGCAAAAAATGATAATGTTGAAGAATTGAAAATTTCAAGAACAGCAAGAACAAGGAGGGAGAAGGACACAAAGGGAGTTCACAAACTCAACGATAATATTCAATTTCTCAAAAACTGAGTTCTCAAATTACAAAAGAGCCTTTATAAAAATACCACAATAACCCTAAAATCTAAACATGATCAAATATAACAATACGCATGAATAAAAACCCTAAATTACTAAAATCCTCAATTTTATTTGTCTTTCCCTCTTCTCCAAAAGTAACGGTGGAACACGTGCAGCTCATGCGTGTGAATCACACGCCGTTCCCCATCAGCATGACGTGTTGGAATATTTGAATAGTTCATGATTACTGTCTAACAAGCGCTTGGCGTATTTTGTAATGTTGCTTATTTGATTTATAAATAAGTGGGGTGTAGAGATGTGAGTGATATTATCAAACTCTTTTTCTTACGTATTCTCTCTTTCCCTCTCTCTCTCTCTCTCTATCATATCTTATACCCTAACTCTCAATCCTAATAAAATTGGTTTTACATTTCAACTGAGTGACATGAACTTTAAGGCATTGCTTTGGGAGATTAGAGTCTTCAAGTTGTGCTTCAATGATTCTCCATTCCTCTTTAATCCTTGTTCCATGTTGAGCCTTTAGGTACCTCAGGGGCTTTATAAGACTGCTCAGTTGTCTTGCACGTTTTATATATGATATATGTGCTTAAAAAATTAGTGTATGCAAGTGGTTCAACCTTTTGGAACTTGTTCTGTTGAGGACATACAGTTACAGTTGCAAAAAATGGTGACCATGGTCAGTTCTGGCTGAGTTTATGTGCCTACAGGAAAAAATTAAAGTATAATGATAAAAGAATTATCATAACATGACATTATTCACAATGTGCCATTTATCATGAGTAATAAGTGGAAATGTGTTCTTCGTTGACAGATGCAGTTCAGGAAACCTTAGGCCTATGGGTATCAAAGACCCAAGGCTTTTTTAGCGACGTTACATCTCCACTGGTAAAAACTGTTCATGATAGGAAGCCTAATCTTGGAGATGCTTTTGATACTCAAGATATGGAAGACAACTTTATGGCTGAGCAAACTATTGATAGCAGAACTCCAAATGGACATCTTTCTTCAGATGCTGTTGTTTCGATAGAGCAATTCAGCAGGTGAAGATAGTTGGCAATGTGACCAATTGAAGCTTGGAATTTCTTATATTGGTGTCTACTGTGTAATTGTTCCGTTTTGGTTAAAACTGGTTTTGATTAGTGAAAATGAACATTTTACCATTGCTATCCTTATTGTCCACATTGTCATCGTCATCATTGTTTTTGTTGTTATTATTCAGTCCAATGAATATTGTTTTATAAGTATGAGTTGAATGCCAAATATGAGAACCAATGAACCATAAATCTTTTTTCCATTTCCAGTTCTTTTACATGAGATAATTTTTTTTTTTTTTTCCTTTCTTGAAAGATAAATACCAATTAGAATAGTTTAATACAAATCATACTTTAAAGCATCAAATCAGTTGTTTCAAGATGATTCATATGGGTTGTCTGTGGAGAAAATATAGAGATTTGACAGCTGCTCTTGGTGATGTAGATTCTGCAAATGTAGTTTCCTTCTATTGCTCAATTATTATCAGAAGTTCATAAAATGTGCTTAGCTGGCTTTGCATTATTGGTACCCCTAGACCATCATCATCCTTGCCTTTGTCCCGAATGAATAGGGTCGGCCACATTAATTATCTTTTTCCATTCTTTCCTATTATATACCCATGTCTCCTTTACTGCTTAATTTTTTAAAATCATTTTTAATTGCTTCATCCCATGTACTTTTTGATCGGCCTCTTTGTCTCTTGCCTTCTAGGCAAAACCCCTTCCTCTTCTAACAGGTGTTTCTTTGGTCTATGCTGTTTATCACCATACTACCAAAGTCTAGTTCTCTTATTTTATCATTAATAGCCTCTATTCCTAGCTTTCCCCTCGCTCGGTTTTTACTAATCTTATCTCTTCTAGATACTCCTTTCATCCATTGTAACATTTTCATTTCTGCTACAACTTGTTTCTTTTTCAACACCCAACACTATAGCTGCCCCAATAACCGTCTTATAGAAATTTCCTTATAATTTATTTAGTAGTCATTTGTCGCAATACAACTTCCTCCATTTTGTCCACCTTGTTTTAATCCTAGTTACAACATCACCATCTATCTTCCCATCTTTTTGTAATATTGACCCTAAATAATACTTTGAGTAACTTTTTGGCCTTGAATTGTAGTAGTTATATCGTTTTCTTCTGCTACTTTATCAAATTTGCATTCCATATATTCTGTTTTAGGCCTTTATCTTATTAAGTTTTTCTCCAATCTTCTAATTTTGTTGCTAAGGCTTTATTAGAAGTATCTAATAAAACTATGTATTCAACAAACAACATCCCCCATGGAATGTTTTAGATACCCTTTGTTATTTCATCTTGGAATGTTTTAGATACCCTTTGTTATTTCATCTAACACTATCATAAATAGGTGTTGACTTAACACTGATCCTTGTAATCCTACTTTTATTGAGAAGTGTCCAGTTTCTCCAAATGTAGTATGAACTCTAGTTGATGTCTCACTATAAATATCCTGAGCAAGATTTATAAGTTGCACAGAGACATGTTCTTTTTGTAGAGTCCACCAAATTATGTACCTTGGCACTCTATCATATGCCTTATCTAAGTCTAAAAATCTTTAAATACAGGACATATGACACAATTCTTATATTTACATGCTTGCTATCATTTGTTATGGAATTTTTAGGAATCAAGGGTATAAACTATGTTTTACGTTTTTTTTTTTTGGGATAATGCAGGATGAATGGATTGACTGGGCAGAAAATGCAGAAGATATTTAAAGCACTTGTTCCTGAATTTGTGTATAATGATGCCCGTAATTTGGTGGAGTATTGCTGCTTCAGGTTCTTGTCGAGAGATAGTTCTGAAATTCATCCTTGCCTCAAGGTTTGTAGACTTAGTTTTAATTTCATGCTTTGTTCCATTCTTGAATGGAGCTAGATAGGCATTTTCTGTCACTGCTGGAATTCATTTACCATAAACAAAATGGTTCTTGGATTGTGGATTTTTTGGAATATCATTTTTCTGTTGTTGATTCTTCTTTTTCGGGTTCAGCTTGAGAAAATCTGCAATGTCACATCATTTTTTTTTTTTTTTGGATTATCAGAAAATGAATATGTGAAAATAGCACAAAGTTTAGTACAATCTAATTTAATCAAATATATTTTCTTTACACGAGAAAAAAATGTGTATTTTTGAACATTCAGAGATCCCAGCTGCTAGCTTGAGTGGTATCTTGTGCCAGTTCCAAAGGGCAAGGGTTTGGGATCCGGTTAGGACTTGGGAAACAAGTTTTTGAGTCTTATTGAGAAAAAGGGAAAAAAATAGAAAGAAGAAGAAGAAGAAGAAGAAAGATCTGATGCAGGCCTAAAGTTTTATGTATATATTGTTTGGCCTGTAAAAAATCTCTTCCACTGGTCTGGTGGAAGTGCGGGTGTGCCAGGAATTCAGGAAATTCCGAGTGAGAGTCCAAACTATATTCCAGATGGAAATGAAATGGATTAGGCGACTGAAAGGAGGTCTGGAATGACCACCTCCAAAGGTTCTTTTTTGCCTTTAGTGACAAAGGACTTTGAGATTTTCTTACGGCTGGAAATGAAAGGACTTGAAGTGCTAGAGTGAAAGTAATGAATTGAAGGTGCATGACTTGGAAAGTAAAGTGCTGAAAGTTAAGTTGCATTAATGAAGATAATTGAAGTACATTGCATGAATTGAAAGATAACATGAAGGACAATTGCAGGAATTGAAAGATAAATGAAGTGATGTAGTTGTGTGTGTGTTGAGGAGGCCTTTAAGTAACAATAACATGCCCTATTTATAGAATTTGGTAATGGCAGTTAGCATGGGCAGTTTCATTGCCAACTTTAGATGCCTCTAAGTGGATTGGTTGGATTCATGCCATGTGTCCTATTGCATTGTTCATCCTTCATAGTGCTTACACGTGTATGACCATGTTTTCCGACATTTTTGCCATTTTCAGCGTGACTTTCCATTGGCCGGGAATAACTGCTCTTCCAATGGAAATCCTCCACGTGTTCCACGTTTCTGGGTTGTGCTCTCAACTTGCAGCCACGTTCTAGTCCACGTCCTGCCATTTCTGCTACTTATTCGCATGACATTCCACTGGAATCTTGCACATTCCATTGGAATAATCCCTCTTTAATTGGAAATTCTACCACGTGTCAAAGATGAGTCTTCCAACTGCTTACCTCTTGGCTTGCCATGTGTTCCATGGCTTTCCACTTGCATGTAACTGCTTGCTTCCTCGGCTGCCATGTGTCCCATGACTTTCCACTTGTATGAAACTGCTTACTTCCTCGGCTGCCACGTGTCCCATGACTTTCCACTTGCATGTAATTGGTTGCTTCCTTGGCTTCCACGTGTTGCTTTATGATTGCACCCACGTTTACATATCACCCTTCCATTAGAATCGGCCACAACAACTTTCCATTGGAAAGTGACCGATAATTACCAATGGCCAGTGGCTTAGCGGTATCAACCTCTTACTTTCCAAAGGGAGGTTAGGGGTTCAAGTCTCAGAAGAGACAAGTGTGTGTGAGTACCAACTAGGAAAAAAAAAAAAAGTGACCGATAATTATGGTGCAAGTAGTTATAGTTGTGGCCCTTTTATTAAGCCACATGTCCAACTTGGATTGGTTTTTAGCTAAAGTCTTTAGAAGATAGTGATTTCCACTAAAACGTCGTAGTACCTTCCATTGGAATCGACCAGGGCAACCTTCCACTGGAAAGTGGCTGATAATTATGGTGTAAACATATGCCGCCCAAATTTTATGTGCCTGATATTTTTTGAAGAATTGTACGACATATAAAATTTTAGATGTGAGTGAGAATTTGGTATGTGATGTTCTTGTTGGCTAAGGAATGGGACAACCAAAACTTTTCAGCCGGAATGTACCATTTGGCCGAAAACTTTAATTAGCCTATTAACTAGGCCGAAAGTTGTAAGTTTTAGGATTTGAAGCCTCCCGTCCAATTTCGTTGCCCCCCGGCGTCTGGAGGTTTATGAAGAGGACGAATTTGTACATCTTCTGGCCAAATACATAGTGGATTAGCCAAGTTTTGCCCCCCAAAAATCACAAGATGTGAATTTGGGACAAATAAAGTACTAGCATTTTTTTCTAAAATTGGAAGAAAAATACTATGACATATATATTCTTCAGGTGCAAGAATATATATCGATTGAGAAAACTTTGCCGTTTCCAAAAGAAATCTGACTGTGGAAAATCTCCTTCCAATCGAAGAAGTGGTAACGGCTTCCTATGGAAAGGTTTGTCTTGCTGGAAGTTGGCTATGACTTAGTACCATTTGTTGGGGTAATGAAGTTGTATTTTCTGGCCAAAAATGGGAGTTGGAGTTTGTGGATGCATGTGTTAAAGACACTAGTTGTTTTTTTTTTTTTTTTTTTTTTTTTGCTGTTGGTGATTAGGGGGATCATTGAGATTGGATTCCTGACAGATACGGTTCAATAGGCAGCTCGTGGTTCAACAATTTTAGGAGTGATTTATGGGGGTGACAATCCTAGAGTAATTTGGAAAGGTATTTGGAAGGTCAAGTTGCCTTCTAATGTATCTTTCTTTGTTTGGACCGCTACCTTAGAGGCAATCCTGACTTGGATAAGTTTTGGTTGGAGAAAAGTTTATCCCCAATTGGTGTTGCATGTGCTAAGGTTTGAGGGAATCACAATTATCTTCTCTTTCAACTTTTGTACATTGTATTCTTTGTTTGGTATTAACTGAGGTTGAGCAGTTGATGTGAAATTTGATTGGTTGTGGGCTGAGAGTTTTCTTGGTGATAGAAACCCTAGTCCTGACACAAATCCCTTCATGTCTTATACAGGGTGACTATTGGAGTAGAGCAGGGGTAGTTTTGATGATGTAGAGTATTTTGTTCATAAATTTTAAAAATCCCTGATATTTGGGCCAAATCTCACATGGGAGAGAAAATTTGAAAATAACTTTCACTCACACCCCATGAAAATTTCCGTCACTAACGGTGTCAAGAAGGTGTGAAATGTCATATATGCCTCCACTATTTAATCCAAATTAATTTAAAAAAATATCAGAGGTGTCAAACGTCCAAATTGCCCCTCCAACGCGGACCATTCCTTTCTCTTCTCTAAATACTTCATCTCTCTCTATAGCAACTCCGTCAACTCAATCCGCCATAGTCAACCTGCCAAAATCAGAAGTTTCTAGGCCTCAACATCTTATGAAAAGTTAATTCCAGTAAAACATGAACCAAGCTTCATTCAAGAAAGATTCAAATCCAAAATCAGTTAGCTCCGCGCAGAATTTGGAGCACAAGAAAAGAGTAACAATCATTCTTTAATTACAGAGCATGAAGCTCGAACTAAAAAAAAAATCTAAACCAGATTGACCACATAAATCATGATGATGATTTAGATAGCATCATTATTAATCAACTCATCATTCATCTTCAACATATGGAAACCAAAATCCTCTTTTTATCTCTACTTTCGAAAGAAACCTAAATGGAGCTCAATAATTACAAGGAAACAAAAATTACAAAAAAAATTATAGAGTGAAAAATTCGTGGCATTCCAATTACCGATCATAAAGACACCAACAAAAGATTCTGATTCGGTTGATCCAAATCCGGAACACTAAGCTTTGGCACCAGATCGATAGCAATATAGCTTGCCGAAGACATGGAGGGCGATGACGAAGATGATAAAGTAGTGGCTCATGACGAGGATACATCTAGGGCTGCAAATGAACCAAGCCGAGCCGAGCCTCAGGCTGCTCGGGCTCGTTTGTTTATAGTTTGGCTCGGGCTCGTGACGAGCTCAAAAAACTGAGCTCGGGCTTGGGCGCGGCTCATTTAAGAGAATAATTTGAATTTATAGTCAAAATTTGTTCAAGCTCATTTTTGAGCTCGCTAGCTCGTTTAGTAAATTATTGTATTTTTATCATATACTTTCAAAAATTAAAGAATTTCATTAAAAAATAAAAATAAATGTAAACGAGCCTACAGATCATGAACATAAACGAGCTTACACGAGCTCATGTTCATGAACATAAACGAGTCTACACGAGTTCATGTTCACAAGCCTATACGAGTCGAGTCCAGCATTGCTCAGGATCAGGTCGTTTACTAAACAAGCTTAGAAATCGAGCTCGAGCTCGGCTCATTTGTTTAACGAATGAGCCCGAGTTGTTCATGAACAACTCGATTCATTTGCAGCCCTAGGTACATTAGAGGCATCAATCTTCACTACGGCGTTGGCAACAGAGACCTTTGGTTTCTTTGGCGTCTTTGGATTCAGCTTCTTTGCCTTCGCACCACCGTAAACCTCTCCCAATTGCTACTGTGAACCAATCATATGCATATATAAAAGAAATGCATGAGACCAAAAATTAATCACAGCAGAGAAAATTTAGGAAAGATGAACTAGTTACAAATACAATGCAAGCAGGAGACCAAAACTGTTCTCTAGTAAGGTAAGAAATTTTACAAATAAATTCTACCATCCATATTCCCACATCAGCATTCCAAACGATTAAAAAAAAAAAAAAAAAATTCTATCTGAGTATTCCTTGTTGGCTAATGGTGGAGACTTTTGGGTTTGTGGGAGAGATGTGAATGGTTAAAAGGGGGTGATTGTGAAATTTACAAATAATTTATAAATTATTTTAATCTTTTTACATAATTGTTGGTGTTTTGACATAGTCAAAGGGTATCCAAGTCATTTTACATGGTGTTAGGGCTCTGACACCATGTGCAGGTGACAAATGGGGTGTGAGTGAAAGACGGAGCAAATATTTGTAATGTAAGTGAAAGTTATTTTCAAAATTTCTTGCCGTGTGAGATTTGGCCAAACCTCAGGGGGTGCCATTGTAATTAACCCAAATAATAATGCTGGATACTTAAGATTTTTGGTTGTTTAAGGGATTTGGCCCTGTTTATAGGTGTTGTGTCCGCTCTTGGGCTTTTATTTATAATGCATTTACTTCCTAAAAAATAACAGCAGAACAGAGAGGTCTTTGTGGAGAGAGAGAGAGAGTTGGTAATTGTTAAAGAATATTATTATAGGAACCTTAAATTACTCAGAATATTGCTCTGAGAATATTGTGGGAGTGATTTTAGTCTATGATAAAATATTATTGGAGTGATTTATGGGATTGATTTCATGAATCTTCCATTAATGTATTTTCCATATTTATCGCTTTATTCTTTCACCTATAAATAGAGGCGCTCATTGTAAACAATCTTAAGAGAGAATATAATAAGGGTGATGTAGCCCTTTAGGCTTTGTGTGTCTTTCCTTGTGTTCTACGTGTTTTTTTTCTCTCTTCAATTTTTATATGTTTCAACATGGTATCAGAGCAGGTTTATCATACCATACTCTATACTCTACTCGTCTCCGATCTATTGATCAACTTGTCTCGGATCTTCCTATCAACTCATCTCAGACTTTGCAACTTGTTTCAGACTCCAACAAATTCGTACTTAGTTTCAAGTTGGACACTTGAGTTAAAATCTCCGTGAACCAACTTGAGGGAGGGTGGTGGAGAATATTATTATAGGAACCTTAAATTACTCCACAGAATATTGCTCTGAGAATATTGTGGGAGTGATTTTAGTCCATGATAAAATATGATTGGAGTGATTTATGGGATTGATTTTATGATTTACCAGTTTGTTCTTTCACCTATAAATAGAGGTGCTCATTGTAAACAATCTGAAGAGAGAATATAATAAGGGAGATGTAGCCCTTTGGGCTTTGTGTATCTTTCCTTGTGTTCTTCATTTTTAATTTCTCTCTTCAATTTTTATATCTTTCAACAGTAATTAATGAAATAGTGGTTTACTATTTCGCTAAATTAGTGCCATAGAACCGAAATATTGTGCCATAAAGCCTTTAAGGGTTAAGACCGCCTAATTTGGAGCAGATCATTTGTGTGCAACTCACCAGGCAAATGCATAAATATTTAAGGGAATTTTAGCCTTCAGATCATTTTTCCATGAGAAAAATGAGGAGATACTGGTAAATTCTGACACAAACCCATCATTACTCTTAAGAACCAAAATTTCATGGTAAAGAATAAATAAAGATTATTCAGAGCAAGCAGAAAGGAAGTTCATTCCTTTTTGTTCTCTTTCTGAGTTTGCAAAACAGCATATTAGATGTGGATCTGTGGGCAGTCCGTGGATAGATTTCGTGAGAGCACAGTGATGCCTCACTCCCATGTTCAACTGATCATTTCTTAGTGTAGATGTGAATATAGGTGATCATACACACAGGCACCTCTTTTCCTAGGCAAGTTAGGTGCAGCCTATACACAAGTTTGTCAGAATATTATAGGGGTGGGAGAGTTGAACCGAAACGTCCATGGGAGTATGGAACTAGGAGTAGGAGCCATTTCATCACCAACAAAAAGCTGCACCTTCTTTTTATGTCAGAAGTGCATTACCTTGTGTATGTCCTTGAAGGGAGAGTGGAGACATACCTAACATTTAATTTTTTTTTTATAAAAAGTGGCTCTATTTACACTCTGAACCTATGACCTACATCAAGGACAGGATTTATTAATTATTAATCGAACCACAATACAACAAGTGAAAAATGTAATAAATTGAATACATGTATATTTAGATGTTCAATTATAGGTAATTTGAAGACGCACAAGGTATGTTAGCAATCGACACTCTCATGCTCCTGTTCGCATTCTAGCTTCTCGTTCTGATCACTTAGGAGCTAGGCCCGAGGGTTCCCTGCCAAGGGAAGAACAAGGTATTTAAGGGGTCAACCACTGAATTACAACCTACAGAGTTGGGCTATGCGGACGATAATCCTTTGAAAACTTCGATATTTGTCGTACTACTTTTCTTTAAGTTAATTTTAGGGCATTCAAATCAACAAAAAGCTTCAAAGTGAGATAAAGACTTGTTTAGTTCTTTACTTCTTTTCTTGGACGAAATGTTTTAAGTTTTGGGTTTTGTAAACTTACATATTTGCTTATTTCTTTCAGACTGTCTGTTAACAGGAACCTGCATTCCAGAGACTGATTTTCATAACTATGCTTGCATGGGAGAAGCCTTACAGCACAGGAAAGGATTATCGAGCTAATGCTTCGGAGAAAGCTTCTTTCAAGGTTAGTTCAATCTCTATGTTTTAGAAAGCCCTTTGAAGCATCTGCTGGTTATGTACTTATGTTATTGCATTAACAGCGTAGTTTCTAATTTTGCATTTTAAGATTTAATTTAATGGAAAACCAATGAATGAGCGGGAAGTAATCTTATGGAGAATTCCATGATTGAAGTAGTTCATGGGATTGACTGGAGTAATTAACGAGTGGTTGAAGACTGAGTGAACTACTCCTATATATAATTCTCCAATAAGGAGAAAAGAAGAAAAAGAATGATGTACTGTGTGCCATTCTGTAGCAAACAGAAAAAAACACAGGAGTCTTCTTACAGCAGTAAACACTAGAGTTATTCCAATTACGTTGGAGCCTAGATTTCTAAAGGGAAATCTGGGAAAAGCCTTCGAGAAGTTTAAACTCTGGTAATATATCAAACTTATATTGATTAAGACTTGATCACAGCAGATATAGAGGACTGTCCCTTTTATAATACTACTATTAATGAAGCTTGACTTTTCCTAGAATGACTTCTAGAATCCCCACACAACGTTAATAACATTTTACCACTTTCCCAAGTAAGAACTTGGTAATTCCAAAGCTTAATTACTTAGTACCCAAAATAATAATGACTCTTCGACTTTCTTCAAGGCACTTTCCAAAGCACCATTAATTCTTTGCATCTTACGCTCCTCCTTGAAGAAAACTCGGCCTCAAGTTTGAAACAATTTATCATGAAAAGCCTTCCATCCTTTCTTCTTCTTTTCCATGCTCAATCAAAGCACATTAAGCTTTTGCTACTGACGAGGGATAACTTTGAATGAATTTTCAAAGCTCTCTTGTGAAATCTCCAAAACTTGCTTGAAGATAAATCATGAACCAAGACTTGGACTGCTCTGATTTTTACATTGGGCCAATTCCTAGTTATATGTTGCACCAAGAATCCATCCCAAATCATGTCATGCATATGAAATCCGTTCAGAATTATTATTTATACTCTCAATAGGTGCTGAAAAGATGAACTGAATGTTTTCCTTATAATGTGAGCATACAGAATAAACAGGAGTCTCATGACCCTAAAAGGTGTACTGCTTAGAATCAGTGGCAACATTCCACACCTTAATTGTCTTGTCCTGTCCACAAGTTATGAAGCATAACTGTTGGTTTGGATGAGGGAAAGCAAGATCACTAACACCATCAACCTGAGCATCAATTTCTAGGTGGTTTCGTATATCCTTACCACCATGGGAGGAATATATCTGCTTTAGTGTTCTTGGCGGCGTACGCAGCACCAAAAAAATGCCATCAGAACTCCATATCAGTCTCTTCACTGATGCAGGATACTCATTGGCCAAAGATTCCTGCAGAGTCATTGAACATAATCCAAGGTTTGAGACCTTGAAATTTATGGAAACAAGCTTCTTCTTGCCACCAACCTCCCACAATGCGACATCACCAATATTTCCAGAAGGAAGCAGAGTTTGTTGCACTGGATTGAAATCTATGCTCTTCATGGCAGAACCCTCATTCAGATTTGCAACTAGAGTTTTCGGCTAATCACCAGAAGAATATAAGATGTGGGCATAGCTCTTACCAGGATTTGCAATAGGTAAGATTTTAGCAGAGAAATTTGTGATGTTGTGGCCCATATTTGGTGCCGGGTGTCGTGTTTTTGGGGGCAACTCCCGAGGAAATTTTTTGACCTGGTTTTTGCTTGCAGTTCGTGGTCCCTATTTAGTATTCTCTTGTAGCCCGATATATAAGGGCGCTTAGGGTTTGGAGTGAAATAATTGAGAGACACTGAACATTGCAGAAAAGAGAGAGCAAAAGCTAGGGTTTGGGGGCTGAAACTTGTAATCTCCAAATTTTCGTATAGTGAATTCTTTCGCCGGATCTTCACCATGGACGTAGGCTTTGCCAAATCACGCTAAATCTTTGTGTTCTTTGTGTGTGGCATGTTTATTTTCTGTCGTGTTTCTTGGGTTCGATGCATTTGTCCTAACAAAATTGTTGACAAATCCATGGAAAGCAGGCTGAACAGTGGCAGCAGCTTCTACAACTTTAGACAAGTTGTTGTTTGCTTCCTTAGATTTCTCCTCTTCTGCCTTCTTTTTTCCTTCACATTCCTCTTTATTTGTTGTCAAATTCTGGAAGATGGGGAGTTGAATGTACCCCCAAGAACTGATTTTCTTCATCTATATTTCCGAAAGATTCATCAAATGTGGAGGTGACATCGACAAAGTTCCACGATCTTCCTCAACCAAGAGTTGTTTTCCATCGATAATGTGATTGTTTACAACTCTTGGGCACTTGCCAGACTTGAATCTTGAATCCTCACGTGTAGGACCAAAATTCAGGTTCTTCAGTACGTTTCACCATTTATGCCCGTGTGTTGTATGACCCAGCAGCACTCTGTTTTGGACTTCGAGACAGCTTATGCTACTGATTTCTTTCTCCAGTAGTCTGTTCTGTCCAATATTCGCATTCATATGCTTCCATTTGCTGATCCCTCTCTCTCCTACTGGCCAGATTCAGAGGAGAAATGATTCCATATTGTTCTAATATAGTGCTTAGTCGAGAAATTTGATGCGGAATTTTTGAACGTCTTCTTTTGTGGCTTCCTTGCCTAGCCATAGATCTGCAATAATCACAGATCTTATATCAAGGCTCTGATACCACTTGAAGCAAACAGAAAAACACAGAAATCTTCTTTCAACAGTAAGAAGGACTAGTGTTACTCCAATCACCGTTGGAGCCTAGATTTCTAAAGAAAATCTGGGGAAAGCCTTTGAGAGTTTAAACTCTGAAAATATTTCAAACGTATATTGATTAAGACTTGATTACAGCAGATATAGAGGGTTGTCCCTTTTATAATACTATTATTAATCACACTTGACTTTTCTTAGAATGACCCTTAGAATTCCCCCACAGCATTAATAACACCTTACCACTTTCCTGAGTAAATAATTAATAATTCCAAAGCTTAATTACTTAGTACCCAAAACAAGAATGAAATACTTTTTCTTCAAGGCACATTCCGTAGACCATTATTTATTTGCATCACGTTTTGTAACATATACGGGATTCTTCAAAGACAGTGTTAACAACCATCTACTCCAAAAGTTAAGCTGTTAGAGATGGTGAAACTTAAATATTTAAATCCTTCAACACACCCCCTCACGTGTGGCCTTCTTTTGCTCCAACATGTGTTTTTCAATTTTTTAATTATGGTGACAGTGAGGTTTGAACTCGAGACCTTTGTCTCTAATACCATGTTAACGACCATCGACTCCAAAAGCTTATGCCATTAGAGAGGGTGTAACTTAAATATTTAAATCCTTCAAAAGACAGCAAGTCTCAATAACATTTAAACACTTATAGAATGTTGACCTAAATGGTAATCTGCTTTTCATAACACCGGTGATTGCTCTCTTGGATATTTGGATCGGGTAAGTATTGGTTTTGCATGGACTGTAAAGGTGGTGTTAATTTTGAACTCTCAGAATTAGGCAAGTGAGAGTTCATGAGAAAATTGATTTGCTAATCTTCCACGGTGGTTGTGGGTCTATTTGGTTCAATTATCTGGAAAAAGTTTCCAAAAACACTAAAAACAAAGATCAGTTCCCAAATAATTACAAAACATTGTCCTTTGAAATTAGGCATTGCTTTAACTCAGTTATAAAAAACAGTTTTCAGAAGAAAAAAAAAAATTCAAATTTTGTCTGGTTTTTACTTGTTAAAGAAAGGAAAACTGTTCTAACAAAATTGATTAGGCAGGCTGTACAAAATTGATTGGGCAGGCCGTGCACTTTAGTGTTTCTGAAGTTTGCAACCATGATTAATGTAGCAAAGATGGTTTTGTGGGGCAGTGGACTTTTATTATTATTTAAAAAAAAAAAAAATGTATTCATACAATTTTTTATGCTAATTTTCAAAAGGCTAATCCATGAGAGACCTAACATGACCATTCCAACCAAAATTCCTAACATTATACTTTGTTGCAGTTGTGAAGTTCTCTCCAAAATGCCATGATCATCATCTACCTACTCAGATGCTCTACTCCCTCCCTCTCTCTCCAAAATACGTATCATCGTCTACCTACTGAGATGATCTACTTTCTCTCTCTCTCTGTCTCTCTCTCTCTACACACACACACATCTCCTCCCTGCATGTGCCTTTTACCAGAAGGCCCAGAACCGAGATGCTAATTGATGTAAACATAATGAATTATTACTCCATTCTATAACTTGATCTCAAGAGTGAAAAAGATATATCTGTTAATTGCTGGTAAGGAAGTCATATTATAGCCTTTCTAGGGTACACACTTTTCAACTAGTCTATCTAACTTGATGAGGGCCATGTATGTGCCTTGAGGAGAAACCAAATTTATCCAGGGAAAACTGCACACTTGTCATTAGTCTTATTTGTGAGGGTATTTCTTTAATGTGTATATTTTAGTTATGAACAGAATGGATCTAGACCAGCCAAGGTCTCATCCATCTCTGGTAGCTTCAACCGATAACAAGAACTGATGCACTTATACGCTGCTGCAACTCACTGGGTTGTTGTTGATGCACTTGCCATACAAGCGAGAAGTCTGGAATGGACAACAAGTCGTATGAAACTGATTTCGGCTGCTCCCTGGTTTGAGCCAAGGGACCTTAGTTGGATTGTGGGGGAGACATCGGAGAGTGTAAAGACAGAACCATCCTCCTCTTGCCAAACCCCATTGCAGGAATAGAGAAAGAAGGGCTCGTATTTGAAAGGTTTTGAGCAGTTAAGTTAACATGAGTTGGTGACAGTTTCTATTCTTTGGGAACATCTTTTAATCTAATATGAGGGGCCAATGGTGCAGGAAAAGGTTTTTCCACTGAAGCTTGAGAATGAGAGGCATATCAAAATAAAAATTGTATTGAGAAGTTGCAAGATGCAGTTTTAAGAAACAGTTGTTCATTATTAATATGAGAACTAATCAAGAAATCTCAATTCACACTTGTCCACTTGTAATTCTTTTATGAATATTCTTACAATTATAATTACCATACTTGATGAATGTATATTTGCCTTTCATCTAATTGCTTGGTTTGAGGTTCAATTTCTCTTTTGCAATTGTAAAATACAGTTTCTGAGCATTATGAGTCACAATCTATTGTTTCCTTGTTGACCTTGAAGAGGAGGCTTGTTGGAGAGGAGGCTTTTGTTCGCATTGCTCCTGCTGTTTCTGGCGTGGCTGATTGGTCAACAGCACATAACCTTTTCAAGGCTATTGCTGGTGATGAACAAGGCATCTCATTTAACTTGTGGTCCACATATATTGCCGAACTTCTCAAGTGAGCTTCATCATTTCTTTTCTATCTTGAGCGGAATTTATGGTTTTCATCTAATTATTATGTTATATGCTTATATTTCCTTCCCAACATCCCACTTTGGCACAAGGCAGGACATACACTTGGTAGTGTCCTAATTTTACAACTCGAATGTGTTCATGATCATTAGACTCAGAAGATTTGTAGAGTTTAACCATTCTTGGAGGTTATAAACATTGATATTATAATGGATTCTGTAGTAGTAAATAAAGTATGTTAATGGCGAGATGCCTATGAAGTAACATTTTTTTGCAGAAATAGGCCATTAAGCTATTTCCACCTTACATCTCCGCCTGGATGAATGAGATTCTTAATGGTCATATTTCCACTCTTTTCTTAGTAATTTTTGAAGCACGGATGCTTCTACAACAAGGACGTATCTATATCGTTAACAATACTACTCTTGTATACCGATACTTCTCAAATACTTGCAGATAACTGTCTGATATTTCCTAAACGTATTAGTAATTCAAGAACATTTCTTTTCTAAATTTTGAACACATATCCAATACTTCTCAAATAGTTCTAGTTTTCGACTATGTATCCTATACTTATTAAATGTTTTTGGGACAGCTGTCCTAACATGTCTTCAAAATTGAAGCATAACTTTTCTAAATATAATATCGTATTGTATTTGTTAGGAAAAACAATACAAGGATTCCGATTTTCAACTACTTAGATTTTTTTGGGAAAAGAAAATTGAGATGCAATGAGATACATGAAGTATAATATTAGACTATGGTCCAAAGCTCGTGCCCATTCAATGCGACTCTCAATTTGTTTGTCATAACTTTTTAATATAGGAATGTTAATGAAGAATCAGACTGTAATTTTTTTTTTTTGACAAGTGATCGAACTGTAACTTTTTAGAGCACACATCATTTCATTATAACACACAATCTCATCTTAATATTCATTATAACACACAATCTCATCTCTATTAAGTATCACGATGGCATTCACAGTAGTGGGTACCCAGTTCTTAGACAGAAAAAAACATTTATAGTTTCTTGTTATTTCTTTTATTTTTGTTCATTTCTTCTTTTCACATGTCTAGGTAGCTTCAGACTTTTCCCATTAGGTGGTCTTTCCATGGTTATAACAGTGTTTATAATTTTTTTTTCTTTTTCCACGCGACTGTTTTGTATTGACACGATCTTGTCATGTATAATCATTTTGATTTTTAGAGGTAGGATTTAACTTGCCATTCTAGAACCATAAGTATAAATGCATGACTTAATGTGTGTCTGATAGACTTACTGAATTTATCACTAACCAAAAATAAAAACTCTGATTTCATTAACAAAACAAAAAATATATATTTTACCCAATTAATCATGTGTGACTGAGTATACTCTGTAAGGAATTTTCATCTATTTACATCCTTCCTTTCAAAGGTATATAGACTAAAAAATTAAAATAATATAAATATGAAACAAATGCTCAGTATTATCAGTCTTAGGATTTCAAGTTTCTCTTTTAATCTAACTAAGAGTGGCCAACAAATTTATTGGATATTTTCATGCTTAGGGTTTTTATAGCCAATGAATACAATGGTAATGGAACATACTTATTTAATTCTTCCTTCTTTTCCTACACAGGTTTATTTTACTTTTATGTTTTGAAATTTTTGTAATTGAACATACGTATTTAATTATTATCACTTGCTTAGTTCTACATGTTCTTTATTGATTTCTGGGGTTTTTACAGTCTCTAGCATAGAATCTCTCTTCCTATTGTGAGTGATATTTCTGGGTTTTGTGAAGGCTTCTTTATTGAATATTTCCAGGTAGTGCTGGAATTGTTTTTAAAACAAACTTGAAACTTCGATTTGTAGCATTAGCATTGAAGTAAAGCCAGTCAGACTTATCAGGCTAAGACTTTCCTATTGTGAGTGATTTATCTTAAGTTTTCAGTTCCCATTCTGAGAACATGGTAGCGGGGTTTTTTTTTTTATTTTTATTTATTTATTTTTTCAATATGGTTTCTAGGTCTTTTATTTTTATTTTTCAAATAAAATGATTTCCGGTTCATTGCTTCATTTACTTATTGTTCAAGAAATTTATGCCAAACAAATCTTTTTAAATTTGTTTTCTACGTCTTCTATTAAACTTGAATTTTTTAGAATTTTCTTTTTTAAATTCCTCCTTACTAGGCTCGAATTGTTTGATTTTCTCATTGAGCTTCTTGCTTGTCTTCTTAACACTTACTGTTTTCTTAAAAGTTCATTGGATGCATTCTGAACCTTGTAGACTAACTTATTTGTTATTTTCTCATTCTCACTTCCAATTAAACTCTCAGCATCATCTTCTGTTTCACTTTCTAAAGTTTCTTGTTTTTATTTTATTTTATTTTTATTTTTATTTTTTCCACTTATAATCATCTTTAAGGTGCCTGCTATGGCCACAAGAGCTACTTGAGGTTCCTCCTCAATTTTGCTAGTTGTATCTTCACTATCAGATTCAGACAATGTGGCTTTTATAGCTTTTGATTTCCCTCTCTTTTTACAATTCCTTTTTCTCATTGGACAATCACTACCTACGTGTTGTGTTCTTTTTTATTACACCTCCAACAATTGACTTTGTTGTACAGTATTGTATGAGTTGTCACACGTGTACAGTTAGTATTGTATGAGTTGTCACCTACCCCTCACTACCATATATAGAATTACCACGTATAGGGTTTACTTGTTCTCCACTCACTCGCTCCTGTAGCTTCTCCTATATAAACACCATTGTATTATTGTATTACTCACTCAATAAGATATACATTTTCATATATTCTCTCTCTCTCTCTCTTTCAACAGACTTCATAAGACCTATCTTTTCATTTACTTCTTGTTTCTTCCTTTGATGGATCTTTCCTATCTTTTGATGAATTACTTTTATGGTTTTTTTTTTTAATTATATTTTCGTTCTCTTCAAAAAATCTTCTAAGTTTCTTAATTTGAAAAGGAATTTCATTCTCAGTCCTTTATTCATTTCTTTGACAATTTTTACAGTAATGTTTTATTCTTTTTAGCCAGAGGGAAATCCAGTTCATCCTACTAAATCTTTTATATTGATATTATAAATATTTTTACTTCTTTAATAGATGTTTCTGAGCAAGTTTCTTACGAATCCAATTTCTTTCTTTAATACTTAGCTTGAAACCTGCAGGGGAGAAACCTAAGTATCTTTCTTATGACATTAATTTCATTTTTTTTTTTTTTTTTCCTATTTTAATTTCTTAAAGTTTTGCATAGAACTCGTCAAATATTTTAGTTATCCAAACTAAGAGTTCTGAATTTCGTGGTTAGCATTTGCATCTTAAATTTTTTTACTGTTGTTGTACCTTCATTTACTTTTTCTAAGATGTGCCATACTTGCTTAGAGGTTGTACACATTGAAATCCTAGTAAATTCACTAGGTGTGACAACACTAAATATTGGATTTAAGCCTTTAGAGTTCCATTTTCCTTCAGCTAGTTCAATTTATTACATTCTTTACTAGATCTAGTCACAATTTCACCTTCAAGTACCTTAGTTGGAGGTTCCCAACAGATTTCAACAGTGGTCCATTCTTCTTCATCACTGGATTTTAGAAAATCCTCATTTTGACTTACCAATAGCCATAATTTGTTCTGTTAAACAAAATCGGCTTAACTATGAATCCACCTTCCTTAAGGCTATTCATGATCTACTCAGTGTGTCAAGCAACTCGCTTTGATACTAACCAAACAATTGGATGGTAACCCTACACTCTTGATGGGTATGTTGGACTGTTAGCTAAGGCCCTGTTGCATTAGAGTACAAGTGGTGACTTAATCCTAGAAAGGGGGAGGGTGGGTGTTAATAGGTCTTATGGATATTATTTTGAACTTAACTAACTTTTTAAATTACCATTAAGCCTTATTTGAAATTCAGTTATTTAGTTGTGATGATTGATATTTTAATTATTGTTTATACCTGTTAGTCTTCAATTTCCATCAATCATGCTCACAATCATGCATCAGTGGAAAATAAGAAAAACATATTTTTACGTGGAAAATCCAAACCAGGAAAAATCACTGGACCCAGTCTAGACAAGTACAATTCATTATGCAAGGGAGAAGTTACAAACAAGTTGACAGTTCCCACACCCTAGAACCTATTTACCTCTTGGCCCATGCTGATACTAAACTTTTCACACAAGTCTTTAAACGTCAGCTGACTCATCAACAGACTTCGCTCCTCACAAATCCTGTTCTCCAGTTATTGTTCGCCTTGGTTGAAGGATATAAATATTAAAGTTACACCCTCTCTAAAAGCTGAGTAGATGTTTGTTAACATGGTATCAGAGCCAAAGGTCTCGAGTTCAAACCTTGCCGTCACCCTAATTAAAAAATTGAAAAGCATGTGTTGGACCAAAAGAAGGCCACACGTGAGAGGGTGTGTTGAAGGATATAAATATTAAAGTTACACCCTCTCTAAAAGCTTAAGCTTTTAGAGTAGATTGTTGTTAACCGCCCTTTTGGCTCTAACAATTGATCGGTTGAATTGGATCAGATTGTTGAATTCTTTATTTATTTATTTATTTATAAGCATATCAGATTGTTGAATTCCTCCTTGATAAACACTATAATGTTGCCTAAGGAAACCCTAGATTGAGTAGTTTGAAATTATCTTCTCTAAAGGACTTTTTCTCTCTAGATGAGGACCCATGGATCTGGGGATGAAGAGGACTCTGAAGGATAAGAAAGCAGTTTAGTTTAGGCCAGTGTGTGAAATAAGGTTACCATGGAGTTTTGAGGGTCAATTGCTAATCGGAATTCTTTTGAGCCTCCGCCCCGAAGTGGTATCCCGAAAGGCTTGGTGGTCGTATCTAGGCTGAATATAACCCCATAATTATAGCCGATACATATTAGCAAGTAGATTCTGTGTAAAATTATGTTTTAAGAAAGTTTCCGAAAACATATATACGTCAGGTTCGATCCTTTGTTTGAAG